GCTTTCTTCAGTTCTGCCTGAAACCCCGACCTAATCCTGCAGTAAAATGTTCCACTGAGCTAGTTTAGAGACCAGTTACCCTATGGTGGGAAATTATTTAGGGCACTGGTAGATGCCGTCAGTGGGACTAGAACCAAACACCACAATCAGGAAGCCGAACCATTCACAATGGGACACAGAAAAACACAGCAGCTGATGTTGAACTAAGCTGCACCCAACTGTACAGAAGTATCACTTTTCACATCCTTTAGTTACCCATGCATGGCTATAATCCTACCGGCAACTTGCTCACTCAAACAATCTGGTTTTCAATTAAGGCTCTGGAACAATAGAAGGAAAATGCATGCTTAGATCCCTCCCCGGATCAAAAAAGTTTGAGCTAGAAAATATATTGTTTTCCCATTGTAAAAATATTTGGACAATTAACTTGCAGAAGTTTAATGCTTGCAAGAAAACAAGCAAGGACAAGAATGTTAAAAAGAAAAGAAAAGAAAAAAAAAACCCATACCCTTTGCATATAGCCCTTATCAGTATTTTCAAACTATGCCATAGCATTTAATCCTCTTCAAAACACAAGACTCAGAGCCACGGCCCCTCTGTCCCATCAGCATATTCCGAAAGCTACTCACTGACCGCCTATAAAGGTTTGTAGGTTTATAAATCAAGCCGTTTAAAAACTGCAGCAAACAAGTTTCCAACACATTGAGCGTACGTTATTATCATTAATAGTCATAAGTAGTCACAAAGAAAAAGCGATTTGTTTTTTTCCAGACGTGAAACAGGACATGGCATTTCAAAGAAGCAAAAATGCAAACCGGCTTGTGCGTCTCTACGCAATGAAAGCAGTGATTGAGGATTCAGAAAATGTCAGGTAAGAACAGAATACACAAATATTGATTCACTTTGCTGAACACCTGAAACTAATATAATGTCATATGTCACTTGTACCTCAATAGAAATAAATAAATAAATAGCATTTCAAAAAGAGAGCAAATCTATGTATTGGTCAGTGCAGGCAGTCAGGGAGATGAGTCAGTGCTACAGGCTCTCAACTCCTCCAGGCTCCCCCCCCACCCCCCCACCCCCCAAGAAGGAAAACAGTAAGTCATGCACAGTTATTTTTCCTTTTAATTAGGGGCTGGCTTTTTTATTTTAGTTACGTTTTCCTTTAAAGGATTTACACAGTATCAACTTCCAAAACTTCATATGGCAACTATAACTACAGACAGTAATGAGAGAAGTGGTGCAGCCTTATAAACCAAGAGGCCTGTTTGTGTGCGCACAGAAGGGGCATGTGTTGTGCATGCACGTGCGTGTGTGCACGCATCCACGCATGCATGCAAGTGCCCTTGTGTTCATTTGTTCATTTTTAGTTTAGAGATTCGCAAGCTGTCAAAATAGGACATTACATTCAGATATGCAGTCTTATTTCTAAAAGAATAAATTAATGGAGGTACTCTATTACTCTTATAAATTACATACCACTCTGCAAAAGTTTGAGATCACAAATAAATCAGGTTTTGGTATTTTGGCGCCAAACCTAAGTATTATATATATCACAAAAACTGGAACATTTATGCAAAACCGTTCCTGTGAAATCAAAAAGTTCAGAGTTGTAATAAAGGGGTTTTGCTGTGGTAAGAGTTTATGAGCAAATGTTAGCAATGAATGCCTGCATCATTTCTCCAAAACAGTAGAGTATTGCCATAGAGAACAAAATATATGATAATAATAATAATAATAATAATAATGCACTTCCCAAAGGAGAGAGCAGTTCATTACTTTTTTCGTTCCCTGCCACAAAATAAAACCCCACTAAGTGAACAGTTTACTTAAAAAAAAAAAAATCAGGTCATCTGCAGTTAATAACTCTTTCCCGTAAAATTAGTGTCACTTGTTTCTGCAGCAGACGCCTAATTCAGTCACAGGCTTGATTGATTTGACAATAGAGAATCTGGTCCAATAAAGTGGCTGATTTACTTCTTATGCTATAGCTTTTACCCTAATGTGACATCACAGCAGAATTAAATCTTTGACATGTAAAGAAATCCTTTGTAGCTTTAATGAAAACTAAAGATTCTGAAAGCAGGTATTGACCGTTGTCAACAACTTCCAGGGAAGTCTAATGCCTTCATTTGGTAGAATGAAAACTTCCACAAAGACCATGACACTGAATATGGATTTAGACACAAAGGGCAGTTGAGAATATACCATGTATTCCGTGAGCCCAAATTGTTGGCTGCACTAACAGGTCTCGTTTTATCTCCATCTCCATTTGTAAATCGGTTGTCTTTCATTTCTCGAAAACGACCTACCTTCCCTTTGTGAAAGCATGGCATAACACCAAGCGTGGCCCATCTCGAAAGTGGTTTTATTTTAAATAAACAGCAGCCTGGCCAAAAATCAATGAGCATCTTTGTTCCCCTAATCCAGCCCTGAGACAGTCGAGCCAATCAAGAAGCCATTTGGTATGTGAGAGAGAAATCACAGGCCCGGGAAGAGTTAATGCAGCATTCGTGGGCAGGCCTCTAAAAATATTTTTAAATTCTTTTCCCAACTAAAAATGCAAGGTATTTCGTAGTTGTTTAAATGTCTTTCTCCTTTTTTTGCAGACCGCGCCGTGGCCTGTCGCTCCGAGGGCGACTTCCCTGACCCCAGTCTGACACTGCGCCGTTAATGTCAGATAAACCATTTAGCCCCAGCACAAATCTATTCTGTGCAAAAATCTGCTTGAGGTGGAAAATGTAGCAGTTTGTAAACAATAAAGAGCCATGTTTCAGACCAGACAGCTTATCTAACAGAGAAGTCCTTTCATGGGGAACAGTGGGTGGGAGCCTCCCGGACATAGTAGCATTTCCTACCACAATGCAGGAGACTGTCTTGGCCTCCATATTTAAGAGTTTAATGGGAAGGAGGGCAGACGGGATAAAAGAACACAGCTGACAGGGACTTTCAGCTTTAACGACTAAGTGAAAGGAGTCAGCCCTCTCTGCTCTAGCTCCAGGCTCTCAGGCCACGTAGATTTTAAATACTATTTGGATGGGAAAACGAATTTGGCTTGTAAAACAGTGGCCCACGAGGACAGATGAACAAGAACAAATATTTAGTGTCCTTGCACTGCTGGGTGTTTTCTGTGATATTAATTTATCAAGCGGTTCTTGAGCAAAACTTTTTCCTCATGTACATAACACAGACCTCTAAAAATGAGGATCCATTCATTTATTCTATTTTACTTTCACCCATCAGAGGATAGCTTAAGAATGTTCTAGGGGTTGGGATTCCTGGGTGGCTCAGCAGTTTAGTGCCTGCCTTGGGCCCAGGGCGTGATCCTGGAGACCCGGGATCGAGACCCATGTCGGCCTCCCTGCAGGGAGCCTGCTTCTCCCTCTGCCTGTGTCTCTGCCTCTCTCTCTGTGCCTCTCATGAATAGATAAATAAAATCTTCTTTTAAATTTTTTAAAAAGAATCTTCTAGGGGAGTCCTTTAATATGCTGTCAAAGTACCACTTTCCAAGATTATTATTTTCTAGTTAATCTTTTATTCTATCTTATGAAATTGAGACAGGGTGACTAGAGAAACAAGGTGTTAGAATTTAACATCGTCGCTAAAGAGCCTAAAGTCGTTCTTTAAAACCTAAGTGAACAAATGTATCTAGTCTTCCTTATCTGTGTATCCTGAAAATGGGAAAGTTGTTGCAACTCCCTATCAACAACTGATTTTAAAAAACTGGGAAGCTGGCTTTAGCTGCAAAATTAAAACATAGATATGAAATTTATCATCCTAAAGATAAACACAAATATAAGAACCTATGATCAAACACAACTTCATGGTTCTCAAAGTTGGAATGATATTTAAAGGCACACACAAAAAAACCCATAAAGGCACAAACATATGATGTCATCCACTTAAAATAAGTTGCTAGTATTTCTCTGCTTTGTCTCCTTTGTTTTAATACCTGAGATTCCTTTAGATGGACTTGATGGTGACTTTTGAAAAAATGACTGATATTCGAGGACTATCTATACACTAAATCACAAGTAAGTTTCCAAGGCTTAAAAATAGGGACATTCTTTAGAAGCATTTGCAACTATGGTTTCAGAGTGATATAATTATGACCGTGGGTTTTTCTTGGAGTATGGTCCAATGCCTTCTGCCAAGAAATTCAACTTCATTTATTGATAGATTTGCAATAGAATTGAACCAAGTTGAGAGACTTATTAATAATGCTAAAAAAAAAAAAAAAAAAAAAACCACACATTTACCAGAACAAAGATCATTGCTTCACTTGAAACTAAAGCAATCTGCTATTGCTCATTGCTCAGGTTACTGCTATTACACACACATCCTTATAGAGTAAACGAAACAGAAAAATACTCAAAAGATGCTAGTATGAAGGACATGCTGGAAACTCATAAGCTACCTCAAGCGTAGCTGGCTTCCAGTGAAGTAAGCTACAGTCTGCCTACACCATCAGCCCTCTAAAGCTCACACCTCGATAAATACACAACCAGATCTTTTAATTCAACTTGAATACACTACTCTGATTTCAGTCATCTAAACCTATTATTAAAGGGGTTCCACAACCCTTTTAGTAAGAATTTATAGTTGATACAGACTATATATCACTGCCAATGGACAGGCCTGAAGATATTTTCATTTTAAATATTCACCACTTTGACTTTATCAACCTTAAATCAAAAAACAAGTATTGCATCGTTGAAATTAGAATACGAGCTTTATACCTAAGAAAGACAAAATTTCCACGGCGATTCGGTATCACCGAAATCCTGTAATTCCACACAGTTATAAAACTTAGTCCTTTACACACAATTATCAAGCATAAACTGTCAGTATTTTTTCTGCAACTTAAAATTACTAGAGTGAACTGGCTAAATATCCAAGTCCCTAAAAACAGATCCTCTGTCTGGACTGAATTCTCCTCTTTCTATAGTAAAATATCAGCATTCAAAAAGTGTATGTTAATTTAAAATTGGTCTTACTTTGTATTCTGGAATTGACAAAAGGTGGAGAGAGATTGTCATGTGACCCAAGGTCCCTGCTGGTCATGTGGTCATAGGGAGTCCCATCTCCATAGTTCTGTAAATAAAACAACATCATAAGTTTTCATTTCGTATGAATAAATCAGCATATAAATACCCCCCTACTGACAGCTTCAAGATCCAAAGAAACTGAAGTCCACATTCCCACCATGGAACCTCATTATAAGGGACCTGCCTCTTCACAGGTCCACTGGTTAAGAGAAGGCTCTACAAGTCTGCAGAGTTCAAGTTTTCCTCAAGGTAGCTATGAAAGCTTAGAACAATAATAATAGAATCAACTGCAGGAAGTTGTTGGCATGATTAAATGAAATAATGTATGTAAAACATCTGACATATATACAATGCACTATAAATATTAGAAGTCACTATTTTGGTAAGCCCACGTTATTTTTTTAGATTTATTTATTTATTTATTATTTATTTATTTATTTATTTATTTATTTGACACAGAAAGAGAGAGCATAAGCAGGGGGAGCAGCAGAGGGAGAGGGAGAAGCAGGCTCCCTGCAGAGCAAGGAGCCTCATGCAGGGCTTGATCCCAGGACTCCAGGATCGTGACCTGAGCCAAAGGCAGATGCTTAACCAGCTGAGCCACTCAGGTGCAGGCAAGCCCACCACATTATTTAAAAAAAGAAAAAAGCAATATTGTGATATCAGGGAAAAATGACCCATCGCCTATAATGAATCGCTTTTAGAAGACCAAGACAGAGCCTTTTAAACCAACATTTGGTTTTAGTGTATTGAAATTTCAATGTTTTTTTACAGTTGCTATTGTGGTTGTAAGAGAACTGGATCATTATGCAAGTAATTAACACGTTAGAAGATGAAACTATTACAGCATGACTATGAACAAACATCAAAACTTTAGCATAAATTAGTACTCCTGGATTTGGAAAAGTATGGCAGGAAAAAGTTTTAAAGCAGACATTAATTTTGGGCAGAAAACTGTCATGATTACAATGATCTCATCATTTCAATGAAATTTAAAATTAAAATAATGTTTTTAAACTGCCCACTTATTAATGGAGGAATCAGATAACATATAGGAAAAGTTAAAAATCATCTATATTACAGGGTTCAAATTTCAGACTAAGGTGCATAAAATAACCAAAAAGGAAAAAAAAAAAAGTCGATCTGCTCAGCTGGTTGCACTGCCCATAAAGACCAAGTCAAATATACTCAGAGGCATCAGTTGGCATGTTAGCCAAAGGGCAGGATCTGCCCACACAAAAAAAGACGGACGCTGTATGAAAAATGCAAACGCACATCACTTTGAGAGAGAATAACTGGACCTGTTAAGGTTCCAAGTAATCCTGTTTTTAATTTTTTTATTTATTTTTGATAGTCACACAGCAGAGAGAGAGAGAGAGAGAGAGGCAGAGACACAGGCAGAGGAAGAAGCAGGCTCCATGCACCGGGAGCCCGACGTGGGATTCGATCCCGGGTCTCCAGGATCGCGCCCTGGGCCAAAGGTAGGCGCTAAACCGCTGCGCCACCCAGGGATCCCCTAAATAATCCTGTTTTTAATCACTTTTCCTTATTTAGAAAAATTAACTGGAATGAGACTGTAATATAAGGCTGCCAATATGTCAGTGTATTAAAAAAATGTCATATTTTAAATACCTAGCATGGGTTTTGCACTCACTTATTCTATACGGAGCATTGTATAAGACTGATTATACAGTCCTCATCTTAGTGTACTTTCATATACACTACCTAATTTAAAGCACAGCACAGTGCTGCAAGGTAGCGGATAATGTCACCACTCTAAGAGGAGAGAAGACATGCTCGGCCCGGAAATCTGTCACATGCAAGCTACCTGGATCTAGAAGATAGAAACTACAAAACACTGACTCAAAATTATTCACCAAAATATGCCCTGAAAAAAATGGCGGGACAGTCACTGAAAAAATGAAGTCAGGACAAAGGTCCCAAGGCACCTTGTTCTCAAAAGAACAATTAAAGGTAGTGCGTGTGTTAAAGTGAGAAGTCCTAAGACACTAAGTGTGAATGAGCTAAACGATAGGGGAAAATTGTGTCATCTCCTACACTTGCTGTCAAGAGGAATGGATTTATTTCTGCAAGTGCAGCCTGTAACGTGAGGAGGAGGAAAGATTTCCTCAACCCATCCATATAATGCATTAGGATACCAGCCCCGACAGCTGGCACAGTGGCTTCAGCAAAGCTCCTGGTTAAGCTTACAGACCCTGCTGCGCCGTAGAGACCACACTGAGAACCACAAGGTCAAAGGACAGGTGGAAACGGACAACCGCGGCTTCTGACACGTCCTCATTGTGAGAGCTTGATTACCTTCCTTGCCTCCTTGCCAAAATAGAAACACCCCCACCTCAAATGTATGTGAATACTTAGAGTAAAATGTTCCCTCCCTGCAGAATGCTTCATTTATGCAGCTGGCTGGGGGAGGGGCACGTGTTTGTTTGACTGTGTGCTCTCAGTCTATTTTTAATTTGGGGTATTTATATGTATATTAGAAAAGCTGACATGGATTTTAGAGGGACTAGAAATGATTCCATTAAAAACAGATTATACATAAAATCATATATATATTTAAGTGGGAAGGAACATAAAAGAGCTTCTGGCTTAACTTCTTCGGTTTACGAATTACAAAAAGGAGGACCAAGGAAGTGAAATGACATGCCCAAGGTCATATACACATACACACGTGGCCTAACCTCCCTACTCTTACCCCATTCCATGGTCTTTCCATTATACCCAAAGCAATAACTAAAGCATGAGGGAAAACCATGAGAAAAGAATAGCAAAAATTTGAAACCAAATAAATGAATGAACCCAACGGGTGACCAAAGGCATTAATAGCATGTTTATGAAATGTAATCAACCTTGATTTATTATGTATATTACACTGACCAGATAGAGCTTCATACCCTGTCCTCAGAATTATTCTGTCGTCTATATACACCAACACATTACGGGAATCCCAGATTTTTTTTTCAAAGTTGTGCCATCTACAACAAATAACTTTCTGTAATGCTGGATCAATAACAAGCAAAGTAAGGCCAAATATTTAATATAGGATTTTTCTTCTGTTTAGCAGAAGTGGAACAGGTGTCAAATTCAATAACAGCATCCAATAAGAGAATGGGGAAACATTGCAAACACAAGCTGATCCTCATTAAACTTAGTATGCGTGTATATGTATCTGTGCAGTCGTGTGAGAGAGAGAGAGAGAGGGAAAAACTCACCTTCAGTTTGTCAATTTACATATGTGAGATGTCTGGTTGTGGGGAAAAAAGATTAGATATACTTACCCTGGACGGGCTTGGATGTCCTCCGTTCCCCCAGGACCCTGAGCTACTTCTGTCTTCTACATCTAGGGACAAGAGAAAAGTTCTTTAGGCTTTCTTGCAATAATTCTTTCTTTTTGTATATGCACTTTTAAATTAATGTTTCAAATTAATCTCCTGTTGCCTTTAATTAAGAATCAGGCACGGGGCTACCACGATGATAGTGGCTTCTGACCCATCTACTTAAATTAACTCATTTAAATTCACAGCAGAAATGAACTGGACCCTCAGGAACCAGAGGTATGAACATAAAAATTACTTCTATCCTTCAGTGTTTCATAGCCTCAACTTTTATGGACCTGAAACTACACTTAAAGTTTTATTAAGATCTTTTGTACAAAGTGAGTTTAAAACGACACTAACGAAACCTTAAATGTGTATTTTAGAAAGTAAGTTAACTATTCATGCTGACATGAGCGGAGTCTATGCCATAATGCTCTTGGATACTTCTCGTTCCCTAGTCAAGGCTCACTCTACCAGACAACAGACATGCAACAAAATACACACAACACAAAGAGGATTCAGTCCTCTATCGCCACCAGTACAAGGATATTAGAATTTTGGGTGTTTTTTTTTTTTTTAATGTTTTGGGTGTTTGTTTTTTTTTAATGTTAAGTAAAGACAACACTGTCTCAGTATTTTAGTTATTTTAATAGACTTGACCACTTGGCTACAATCCTTAATCTGGGCAGTGAGATGTGAAAATCAAAGTCATTAAAACAATGTTTTTTCTTGATTAAGTGATAATGGAGAGACCTACCCAAACTACCAGAAAGCTGAAATTCTTCTAAACTCTGCACCAGCAAAGTCCTAACAGCTGACCACTGAGTGTCTGAAGTGGCGAGAAAATCGGGCTGGAGAGTCTAACAGCTAAGTTATCATATTAATTGCTTAAAACGTAAAAAAAAAAAAACGTTTTAAAGATCAGTCGCTCTATATTTAGAAATGGCTTCGAGATTGTTGATGAGAGGTCCTTTATAAGGATAAAAAGTTTCCCTGTTCTCTTATTTTGATCATGGTTGGAAACAGACGGCCATCACAAACTTCCTCTGACAGCACTGGAGGAGGAGGTGTGAAACTTTGGTTCAGGAGACATAATCCCATTTATTGTGTTTCCTAACATTTCAGCGATACTGTTTATTCTCCTAATGCACTGTCATTCCTTTTATTACTGCTGTTTTATTATCAGATGAAATAATCATGGTATAATTAATGGATTTATTTTTGGGTACAGTGGAGTACACAGCACTTTAGCATATCTTAAGAGATAGAACAGCAACAACAAAAAACAACTATTACCACTAAACTTGAATCCTTTCTCTCTTTTTTTAAACAAATATCTCTGTTCCTTTTGTTGGTGCTTCAGAAGCTAATGCAACTGCAAACAAATGCCCCCCCCCCCCCCCAGGACAGCTGAAGGCTGTCACTGCGAGCTTTAAGGGATGTCAAGAAAGCTCCATTGCTGCATCCAGGCTTTGCCCAAATCCACTGTTTAACAACCCATCCCCTGGCCTACAGGTGTGCCGAGCCACAATACTTGAAGAGAGGACTTAGAACCCTCTGGATCGGGGAGTTTAGCCAGCCTACATGGTTCTCCTCATCCTTACCCCCAAATCAAATATTTTCAGCAACAAAAAGCATAAATGCCAAAAATCTCTCAACCGCTGTGGATCTTCAGAAGTCTGGCAAGCCTTGACTTCCTTTTCACCTGAAACAGCCAGCCCGGGTTAATTTGAGAGATTTTTTTTTCCCCTCTCCCCCCCCCCCCCCCGCCTTACATTTGACCAACAAGTAATGAAGGAACAGAGTTGAATCGCTATATCCCATTAAGACTTCAGATTGTCTGGACCCATTTTATGGTTTTAACCTTTGGGAAAATTTTAAACACAAAAGAGTGGGCAGAGACAAAGAGGAGAGAGGAATGGTTCTCCATCACCGGTGATTTCGGCCCCCAGGAGACATTTCTGGTGTCATCACAACCTGGGGCACAGGAGGAGGGGGCGGAGGCCAAGGGATGCTGCTGACCGTCCCACGGTGCTGGAATCCCCCCCACGACACACACGCTAAGCTCTGTCTCCAAGTCTCAGTTGTGTCTAGATTGAGAAGCCCAGTGCTGAGGGGAAAACCACATTAAAGAGCAAAACGGAAGAAGCAAGATGAAGGAGAAAGATGTATTAGTATTTTTTTTAAGATCTTTATTTATTCATGAGAGAGAGAGAGAGGCAGAGACACAGGCAGAGGGAGAAGCAGGCCCCACGCAGTGAGACCGATGCGGAACTCGAACCCGGGACCCCAGGATCACACCCTGTGCCGAAGGCAGGCGCTAAGCCGCTGAGCCACCCGGGCTGCCCTAGGATGTAATTTATAGCTTAGTATGAACTCTTACTGAATACACAGCGACTTACACCTTTTAACCCAGACTTGAGTGGAGTGTTTCAGGAGACCCTCATAAACATCTTCTGTCCACAGAATAAAGGGAAAATGATGGTCAACCAAGCAGCCTGCTAATTAGCAGGCAGATAAAACACATCAAAACTTGACTATTCCCAACTGGGCAATTTCAAAAGCGAGCAATCCACTAATTAAAAATGCTGGAAGTCTAGCTTTTTCAAAACAGGTTAAATACTGGCTGGGTTCCTTCACAAATAGATTCCCAACCAATCAGATCTGACTGCTCTTTTCCCATCCTTTCTCATTTCCATCTTTCTCGTTTCCCGACCTCACGCTGCTCCACCTTCCTTTCTGCTTCCTCCCGCAGCCTGATCTCTTAACAGGCTTTTCCATCCCCTGGCCTCCCGGGGCATCTAAAAGATGAGGACCAAGGGCAGGCTCTCCCAAACCGAAGAGGACAACCGTCCGATTTCTGATTATGCTTCTTTCTTTGAAAACAGGTCTGTATCTCATGTATCCAAGAGCTAGAAGCCACAGAGCCAGAGCACAGAGATTTGTAACTCATAATGAATGTAAACATGTCGCTTTTAAGTCATTTGTTTCCAGGTCCCCTCCCACTGAGCTTCATCAGGCCTGCCAGTTAGTGAGCATTTCTTCAGCAGCATCTGAGGGCATCCGAGGACTCACTACGTGCGAATCACCTGTATACTCATTTCAAAATCAGCATCTTGGGTCCACGGCTGACCACCTGAGTGTGGATCTCTCATGAAAACTGTGTTTTAAACAAGGTCCTCGAGTCATCCGCATGTGCACAGTAGTTTGAGAACCGCCAGCCTGCCTTTCTGGGAACGCAAGACAGATGCACGCCCCACACCACCACCACTTGCCTCGCTCTCTCCCTATCTTAAAATTCTTGCCAAGGTTGCCAGTTTTCAGCAGCATTCGGCACACATTCCCATCACATCTGCATCCAGATGCAACTGCATCTTGCCCAGACTCCCTTTTTTTAGTAAACCTGCATGTGGCCTACCCTTGGCCATTTCTTCTTCCCTGCTGGTGTATGCAGGCGCTGCACAGACTTCCACACCTCTATGGTTCTGTACCTGCTATTCCCTCTGCCTGAACCGTTCCATCTCTCGAAAACTAATAGCAGCTAACATTTAGTGAGCTTCAGTGTCAGTGTTTCTGCCGCTACACTAAGCACTTTAATGCACGAACAGTACCACATTTCATATATGAGAACACTGAGGCTTCGTCGGAACGGGAAACTCTCCCAAGCAACTGGCAAACACAGGTGCTGTCAACGCCAAAGCCAGGGGATGCTCTTTTCCAACGCTTTAAAGTCCTCCCTGGCAAGAGCTTCATTTCTTTCCATGACCATCTTGAATGCTACTTCTCAAGTGTCTTCCCAGGCACAGTGAAAGTAGCTGGGAGTTTATGCCCATTCTTGAGCGCACAAAAGATTATAGAATTATACACAATGCAAGTATCTAAAAGTAAATATTTGAAGAAATCAAGAGACTGGAATATAAAAATAGGGAACAGTAAAGCCAGAGGTATAATGAGCTTATCAAAGTGTACACTGTGATGGACTGGATATTTGCCAGAAAGGAGTCAAAATTAAAAAAAAAAAAAAGAAAGAAAGAAAAAGAAAAGAAAGGAGTCCAAATTCTACAAGCTACTGAGTGGGCAAAACAAGGAGTGAAACAAGATTCACAATGAATATGGGAGAAAAGCACACAAATAATTCAGGAAATCCATTAAGACAACATAGTAACAAATGAAAAACTGCCTGGGATAGAGGCTGTCCCAACATGGAGTTCCTGCTTCTCCCTTGTCCTACTGCCACTCTCCAACCAAGATGGGAATAAATAACAGAAACACAATAATAATCCAGGCAGCAGAAGGGCAAGGGATAAAGCAAGTGGATGACAGAAATTATTCTTCCAAAAGACTAAAATGGGTTCTATTGTTCCAGACTTTTCTCATTTATTTTACCCTAAATGAGGACAGACTGAGCAACTTCTACAGGATTGACAGTTGGTTCAGGAGGCAACCTGACAAGCCACAAAATTTCACTCTATTAGAGTAGCTCGGCATAAGCCCCTCTAAAATATCTGACATTTCAGCACCAAAACACAAAAGCAAAGTTTGGACAGAACTAGGACAAAACAGTCCATTTTGAGAAAAGGCACACAGAGATAATTTTTCATTTCTATGATTCCCCATTTCCACATTCATTAGACTTAAGATCCGATTACTCAAATCTCCACATTGTTTATGTGCAAGATGGAAACTCTCAGATAGACTGAGCCTGGACAAATGTCAGAAAACACAGCCCTAGGAGTTGGGACAGAGATTCGGATTTCACCAGCCACTCCGCATTAGCCAGCTCTATGGTCTGAGCCAGTCACTGGCCTCTCTGAACTCACTTTTGTCAACTACAAAATAAATGGGTTTGCGTTCCGTTCTTGGAACGAGGGAAGGCTAGTATATTTGAACAACTCTCCCACAAAAAAACTAAAAATGATGGATCAAGTTTTAAAAATCTTCTTTAAGATACTAATAAGCTGAGAAGATAATATGCACTTATCAAGCCAAAATTAAATTGAGAGCTAGAACCCAGGAAAGTAGA